TATTATTTTTGACGGAAGCGGAATTTTTCAGCATTTTAACGATGCCGAATCGTATGACAACTTTTTCAACCTTAGCGGGTCTGTTAAACGCTAAAAAAAGTGGTTTTGGCAGTGAGGTATTGCTTTATTAGTTCTTTACTGAAACAAAGATGTTAAACTTGTATATAATAGTCAGTCTTGTGGTGAAAATGTTACCACATGTAGTTTGAGTCTTTTTTTAACTTCTCGTAAATGGTGTATTCAGCTGGATTTACAAAAGGACTAGGGATATTATTTCACTGAGCAAGTTAAACAACATCTTTTGTGCTTTCAGTTACTGGAAAGGTTGATAACCGAGTTGAAGTCTAAGATGGCGAAAGGCGACTTTTTTCATGCAACAAATATAGCAAGTTATTTTTCTTCTTTGGCCAGTTTTTATTAAATCGGGCCCCAAGCTCAGAAGGCTTATATTACCTTTTACTGTTGCACAAGAATTGAAATTCTTGAAAAATTTCGACAAGCCTTACCTGTAGTATATTAATTTTGAAGGTTTTATTGGTTCAGTCTAGTTAAATTTTCCAACAGATTTACAAACGTTAATTTACTTAACTCACCTGCTAGTTCTATTAAAATTCTGAAAATTTCGAAATTTTTGCTGGTAAAGAAGCTCTTATGATTTACGCGTTTTTTCTAAAACATCCTTTTCTTCTGTTATTGTTTTCGGATTTGTTTTTTGTAAATTTTTTGAAATGCAGGTTTTAATGTTTCCTAAAATAAAAATTTTTTTTGTTGGATTTTTTAGATTGTTTTTCTTTCCGACCTTGTTAACTGTCGCGTTGTATCGCTTAATTCTCTCGTCGAGTTTTTGGAAGGTTTTCTAGAAGCAGCTTTTGAAGATGGAATTCCACAGGTTCCTCATGTAGTTTCATTTCATGAAAAGGATAGTTTTTTTGATTAAGGGCATTATAGTTTTTTGAACCTGCTGATAGTCGTTAATTTTTGACTTTCAAGTGATTTCTTTTGTGATGCGAGCTTATAACAAACTCATATTGATGTTACTTTTTTCAGGTCAGAAGTGACTGGTTTGTCTATTCTGTCCTACATTGCCTTCCGTGGATTGGACAGGAAGTACAGGAGAAGAACGAGGAAGCACTTAATAACTTGCTTCACGGTATAGAGCAATATATGCAGGAGAGGAAGAAAGACTATTTAAGTGTCAGTTTCACCAGGAATTTTTTTCCAGATTTTGCGAAATGTGGCTTTTAAATCACGTTTTTTGAATTTTAATGTTATTACAATCAGGCATCTACAAAAGGTTTTTAGCTACTACAAGTGTGGACTGCTTCAACTCATGAGCAAGAAGAGTATTTGGACTGTTTTTGGGCACAAATAACCAAACTTCGTGATGATGGTTGGAAAGAGAAGTATATAACGCGCCATTATGTGGCTTTTGACGGGGCTCTGACCGGGGCTTTGCAGCACAACTTGCCCAGGTTATAACGTCTCATTCCTATTTATTTTGCGGCAATAAAGCAGTTTAAAGAGTTTTGTTGACAAAAATTTGATAGAAGACTAAATCCGAGGTAATTTTTAGCTTCCAACCTCCTGAGCATACACCTGACACTATATATCCATTACCGCGTGTGATTTTTCGCTTATTTGATTACACGGACTGCCCGGAAGAGGTATTTTGGAGCATTCCATTTCGTTCGCTAACATCATTATTAGTTGTTTTCTATCTTCTGGTTTTAAAGGGTCCGTTACTACCAGGTGCACATTCAATCGAGCGTTTTTTAGTAGAGGAGGAGTTATTCTGGATAATAGAACAATACTGTGGCAATCGGAAAGAGTGGTAGCTTGTTAAGAACTTAGATGTTTGTAAAAATTTTAGTGTCATTAGATTTACTGCTTTGTATTTTCTTTTTTGTAGTGCGGCACAGCTACTGGACTACAGTAAACGTTCACTGGTGCCTTTGAATTATGTAATCTTGGAAGTTGTATTCGCGGAGCTGTTTCGATTACCAGAGCCTCCTATAAGAGAATTGTTTTTTGGAAGCCTGCTAATAGAACTGTGTAAAAACCAGGCCATGAGCATGCCACAGGTGAACCTTTGATGAACTACACATCTTTGAATCAGTCAAATAATTATCTTAATGGGCTTTTTTAGGTTCTAGCCCAAGCAGCTGAGCTGTTCTACCAGAGGATTGATTCTATGCATCCTCTCTGCGTTAACAGGTAGGTTCTCTTAGCTTGAAGATACAAAACTTTTCTAGAATTGATCGGTTCAAACCCTCAGTATTTTATAGATACTTTTGTTCGACTGAGCTATATTAAAGTGCAGTTTTTAGGCATTAGATACTGCGATATATCACAAGTTTTTATATATTTTTTAGAACAGTAGGTGTAGTTGTTGTTTAATACTTAGGTATTCTTTATATAAACAGGCCCACAACTGGAAATCACTATTCCAAATCAATGACCGAGTGAAACTGCTTGGTCGCAACTGTTTTTTAATTCATGGTAGACGTGAGGTATATTGCTCAAAGGTTAAGCTGTACTAGCGCAGTTGATTGAGTTGTGAAGAAAAAGAGCATTAAGGAGTAATTTCCGAGGGGAGATTTAGCCTACGATGAATTGTGGAAAAAGGGGTATGACTATGTGACGTTGAGGTTCTTATGATTATCAAATTTTCCTCCAGCAGGTTTCTTCCCCTTCGTGCCGTTTATATTTACTGGATGTGAAAAATCCCAAACTTTTGTGTTCTTTACTAACTGTAAAGGACGCAAGACTCAGATTGAATGATCAAATTTTTTTAAACGGATTCTGCAAAACGAAGAAAATTGTGGCAAAGGGGAACGATGGGGCATTTTTCAAATACACCTACCTTGTTGAACTTTTGTGACAGAAGTTGAATAACAGTGAATGTCATTCAGGCTGCATTGCAGGAGGTGTCTTGGGAAAATGGTCTGTGATTTGCAAGTCGTTCCTCATTTCATTTTCATTAGTAACATAATTATTGCCATTGGTGGTTCTTATAGTTTGATCTCTCGTAAACTTTTTTGCATCAGTGATCGTGAAATTGAACTTGGAAAGAACAGAGGGGAACTATATTTTTGTATTAAAACTGCTACAATTAATATTGCTGACTGTATAACAATGTGCAGTTTTACAGGAGAAGTAGCATGCGCATATAAGACGTTTATTTGTTCCTTAATTATTTATGCTGAATTTATTCTCTTAGGCTTATTGACTGGTTCAGTTTTCATATTTCAAATTTTGAATATCAGTGGTCCTGGCCGGACTGGAAAGATTGTGTTACTATGGATAAACTGGCTCCAAAGCGAATTTTTGTTCGAGAGGTAAAGCTTTGTGCCTTTTTGAATTTTTAGCTTGATCTCCTCTTGGTGCATGGGTTTGAAAGCCTGGTCAGTATTATAGCTCTTGGAAAAATGCATGAGACTTTCTTATCATGAAAGACTGTTGGAGTTCTTGCCTACGTACTTCGAAGCATTGGTACCAGAGAAGCCGCGGATTTGTTATTATCTTGGGGAAGGTTGTTACTCATATCTTTTCAGCGATACGTTGATGTTTACTAGCGTTTTTTTTTCGTTTTTATTCCAGAAGAAAATCCATCAGTTGAACTTGCGCGTAGTTTTGAATCTTCGATTAGAGAAAAAAAGACTCCTGACGATGTTGCTCGCTTGTTGGGTAAGAACGGTGAATCTTTGGCGGTGTTTTTATCCGTTCTTCTCTACAATGCCCGCACTACATTCAGCCACAGTTTCGCAGCTCTGACAAAGTATGGCAACTTTACAATTTCCCTCTTGGTAGATTACTGCTAATATTTAATACGGGAAATCACTTCTTATTAAAAATGCATTTTCCTTATCATAAGTTGATTGTATAATTAGTCTTTTATTAAAAACGTACGATTTAGGTTTTTAAAGTAGAATTGTAGAAGCAGTTTTAAGAAGCGTGAGTCTGTATATTTTTGGGCGAACTCATACACTTCTTAACTTTCAGGTATTATCAGATATTAAAAAATGTAGTAGGTAACAGTGAAGAACTGCAGATGGTTGTTTTGGTAACCGTTTACGATTTGTGGAAGAATCATCATCAGGTAGTGACAGTTTTTTATGTATATTTCAGTGGACGCCATTTTTTATTTTTATAACTAAGCGTTTTTGCAGATGATTGTACTGTTGATTAAAAAAATGCTGGTGATGTCTCTTTTGGACGCTCATACAGTAGTTGCGTGGATATTTAGCGAAGATATGAAGAAGGAATTTGAAAGGTTATATTTATTTTAAATGCTTATTTTTAAAATCACTGAGTAACTACAAATGTGATTTGGAAATTATCTACAGTTCCTACTCCTCTTTTTAGGCTTTGGATCTGGGAACTTTTATGCATCACTTTACAACATGTTACTGGTCATGTAGAACGCGCTTCTCAGGCACTTGAATCCTTGCAACTTAGAAGTGCCTCTAGGAAAAAAATTAAAGACCCAGAAAATGAAGACGTTGAAGTAGTTTTTCGTTTTTTAGCAAACGGATTTAACAAACACTTGTTTCTGATGATCTAATTTCTGCAACTTAAAATATTCGTTCTTGGCTAAGTTTTATGAAATTCATTTTTATCTTTTTTTTT